TATATATATATATATATATATATATATGTGTGTGTGTGTGTGTGTGTGTGTGTGTTATTTTCATTAAATGTGCTTAATTCGCTTAATTTTTAACCTAGAAAATATTGTATTTTTCCATAATGTTGAGTTTTTGAAAAGTGTGAATTGCCTAGAAAATAAAGAGAATATTTTCATTGTTTTTAGAAAAATATGGTCAAATAAAACAACTTTTGAAAAATATTTTTCATGAAAAAAATGTCAATCAAATATTTCACAAGTAAAAAATTTGGTGAAAAAAATAACACTTTTCATGAAAAATAAAATCAGTGATTGACATATTTTGATTTTGTACATCTATTCATTATAAAGAGACAACCTTATCACATATTTATGAGATCTTGAAATTATTCAACCTTGTGAAAAAATACAAAGCTAGTTGCCATCGCACACTAAATTGAGATTTACATTGAGATCGGGAAATTAAATTGGATCCCACCGACGTGTCGGGGTCGGGGGTGGGGCACTTACAGCCTGATATTTGATTCATCATTTAACGATGGTGCGATGTATGTTGAATGCTTTACTCTTTGGTAATCATGCCTCAATCATTAACTTCTATTTACGCACTAAATTCTAGTTGACCGATTGATAATGTCACTGATAATTTATTTATTTATTTTTGGTTGAAATATGTGACCTAATGTGAAAGTTTGGTTTTGATTTTTAACAAAATAAAAGAACGTAAAATCTTACTTTGCCTTTAATTTTTTTTCTTTATTTGACAAATCCAATTATATCAAGAAAATTGATGTAGTTTTCATTGTTTCGTAACTTGAGCAAAAATGAATAATTTACTCAAAGTTAAATTATCTATATAAATTAAACAATATTAAAATCTAAAATCCTCAACTGCGATAAAATCGTAACAAAAGAGGCATTCAATAACGTTTGACTTGATCGAATCATTCACAATAGAAATATTTCCATACTCTAATCAACACAAGACTCTCGTTTATGAGCTATCTTACAACCTCACCAGTGCAACTAGGACTATTCACCGAGAATCTTTCTTCCCTTTTCTTTGAATTTAAGCCTTATCTATATTCCGAATTCAAATTTGAATCCAGCTGGACTTAATTGTTGAATAAGCCTTCTAAAGAATACAAGCCAAAAGAATTAATTCTAAAGATCAACGAAAAGATTAGATCTTGGAAATTTGAAAACCCATTCTTTAATCTTGATTGACCACCAATTATTAATGAAGTGGTAGGTAATTACGCAAAGTAATCCCTAATCTTTTACCGCACAAGATATGAAGATCAATGTAATTAGAATCGGCTCGAGCCTCAATCCAAAGTCGGGCTTGTTAGGCAAAAAACCCATATTTAGCCCCCGTTTGATTCTCATTTTTTTGTCACGAAAATGAAAAACGTGATCGTTATCCATCACATCAAGCCACCATTTTTGACTTTTTATCTTTTGTATGGGTCCCGTAACGACTACATTTTTCATTTTCATTTTTAGAAAAATGACTATCAAACGGGATCTTAAAAGCAAATCATCCAAAAATTCTCTAACCCTGTTTTTATGAAAACGTTGATCTGTTTTCAGTTGAGAGATGCTCCTTGAACAGGCCCAAAAACAGGGGGGATAGGAGGGGCGCCACATGACCTTCCTATTTTTGGCCCTGTTTTTGGGCGGAGGTTTTTTGTTTTCAGTTTCATCGATTTAAATGTATGAAACCTGCCCAAAATTCATTCAGATGCTCATTTTTTACATTTTTGATTCTTTATTTTAAAAAATAAAAATAAAAAATCAATGGGTGGATTCTAGTTTGTTCCTTTTATCCTTGAATATTTTTATTTTCGAGCCAATGTCTTATCGATATTGAGAACACCGACGAAGATACATCACTTGAGGTGGAAACACAACTTTTTTGAAAGCAAATTGTGGGCTGTGTGGGCCACATTCTAGCCTAAATATAGCTTTCAAGCACACCATCCATACGAATCCCAAATTTTTAGAATTCTCATTTATCCCTATCTTTATTTTTCAAGTTAATTGTTTCAATGGCCTATGAAGTTAGGTTCATATCTTTGATTAATCACTAAAATTTAAAATGTCAAATTTTGACCACTGAATTTAGGTTAATATTTTCGATTGCTCACTAAACTTAGGTCCATGTCTTAGATTGCTCACTGAAATTTAAAATATCAAATTTCAGCCACTGAACTTTGAAATATGACTTACGTTATTCATTAGCATAACTTTTGAACTTTGAAAAATATCGAATTTTACAGTGAGTAATTTACAGTATTTTTCAAAGTTCAATGAGTAATGTATAATTTTTTCAAAGTTAAGTGAGTAATGTACAATATTTTTTAAAATTCAGTAATCAAAACTCAACATTTTAAACTTTAGTGACTAATCAAAGATATTGATATAAATTCATTAACCATTGGAACAATTAACTCTTATTTTTCCCACCTATTTGTGCCGCCTCAATGACACCAATGGTTGAATTTATCTCCAAAAATTTAACTTTCTCCTTTTGACTTCATACTTTTTCAATATTGTTAAACAAGCCACTCAATTTGTTCCCACTTGTACTCCATCCTCTCAATTTGACTAGCAACATGTTTTGCCGTTATTATTTACTTCCTTTCAATTGATTGATATACCCTTGTTTTAATATTTTCAACCGCGTTTGGAATTGCTTTAAGCCTTTAACAATAATAAGAGTTCGTTTGGGAGTATTTTTTCTACCAAAAAATTAATTTTTTGACCGTTATTTCACTATTCCAGCCGTTATATTTGACTTCTTCTCTCACAGGTGGATCTCACTTTTCTCCTAACGGTCAAAAAATCAATTCTCAAAATCACTTCCAAACAGGCTCTAAATAATAATAACTTTGAATTTTAATAATAATTATTTATTTAAACTTAGTGTATTATTGATAAAACTTTGATAACATTTATCAACTTTTTGTATGATTAAATTTCAAATTCAATGAAATTCATAATTTTTATTTAACTTGCAGCCTTATAAATAATTAAATATTATCAAATTTCATCAAAATATTTTAATTTTTTAACAAAACTTGTCAAACAACCCCTAATTAGCTGGAGACAAGATATGTGAAAGGAATAGAGAATTTCAAATTTTACTTTATTGACCAATTATTTGTTGACATGTCACTAATTTTTTTATCTTCTGTCATATTCGAATGCAATTCAACTTTGCCAGACTTTTCTTTATCTAACCTTAAAGGATCCCTCTAATTCACCGCTCCTTTTTTCCTTTCTTCTTTAACCCCTTTTCGGAAAGAGGGGAAAAAAAAATACAGAAAAGGTGATTTGATCAGTGAAAAAAAGAAACCCAGAAATTCAAACCAACCCTGAACACGAATAAGCTTATGAGCCAGGATTTTTTCTTTTACCATAGCTGTTAAGCCTTCACTACCGTCCAAAAATAGAAGGGAAAAGGCTTTTTTTTACCTTGTTTTCCTCGGAATATTTCCGGTTTACCAAGTCAAGTCAAGTCATGTTGGATAGTTCAGTTTTCTCGGAAAATTCTGGTGTTGATGGTGCTGATGGTAGTGGTACAAGTGGTGGAGCAGCCGCTCATGGGGTGGCTGTGGAACCTAGAAATGAGGGTGGCAGTGCCGAGGGTGGTGAATATTTTGACCGGAATTCACCTGGTAATCGGTGGCCTCGTGAGGAAACTTTGGCTTTGTTAAAGATAAGAGCCGATATGGACCGTGCATTTCGTGATTCCATTCTTAAAGCTCCTCTTTGGGATGAAGTTTCTAGGTACCCTATCCATTTCATTCCCTCCCTGCTGTTCTGATTTTTTGGAGCATATTTGAATTGAGAATTTTCGTGTATCAACCTGTTAGCTGTAGAGTTTGTATTTTCAATTTATTAATAGTTGATTCTTTGCTATTCAGATCAGTATACACTGCTTTGATTTTGGTTAACTTAATTTGCAGTAACAATTCAGTTATTATCTGTTGTTTTTTTATATGAAGAGATTGATGCAATTCTTTTAATTTTATCCACATAACTTTGATAATTTGTAATTTGCACCAGTTCATTCCTTGTGGATTGAAGTTGATGTTTTTGTTTTAGTGTGTTTGCTGTTCTTTGTCCCGAATGGCATATTCTTTCTGTTCTAGTATGAATTCTGAATTCAAAAGCTGGAATAGGACAGGCAGGGGATTTTATTATGTGCTTCTTATTCAGGAAATTAGGTGAGCTTGGATACAATCGAAGTGCCAAGAAATGCAAAGAGAAATTCGAGAATATTTACAAGTACCACAAGAGAACGAAAGAAGGCAGATCCAGTCGGCAAAATGGGAAAAACTATAGATTCTTCGAGTTATTAGAGGTGTTTGATAATCAACTCTCTGTTCCATTGACCCCCTCGAACCAAGTCCAAACATACCTGATGAAAACTACAGCAGCGTCACCATTGAGGGTAAATCCCATAAATGCATCTCAAGATTTTAGGGTACCTTGTTCGAATCAAGATCCTGATACTGAATTCATTTCCACCTCTACATCCTCCTCGGAGGAGAGATCTGAAGGAAGCGTTAAGAGAAAGAGGAAGTTGGCAGAATATTTTGAGAGATTAATGAAGGGTGTTTTAAAGAAGCAAGAGGACTTACAGAACAAGTTCTTAGAATCCATAGAGAAACATGAGGAGGACAGGAAAGCAAGAGAAGAAGCATGGAAGGTGCAAGAAATGGCTAGAATAAAGAGAGAACAAGATTTTTTAGCCCAAGAACGAGCAGTTTCCGCGGCTAAGGATGCAGCCGTGCTTGCATTTTTGCAAAAGATCTCGCAGTACTCAACAACTCTGCAAATGCCAGAAATCCCATTTCCGATATTTGAAAAACATTTGGACACACGTGACAATCTGTTGGAGAAGTGCATTGACAAACGACAAAATGGTGTTGGGGAGACTTCAAATCATACTGATAAACAAGAGAATGGTGTTGGTGAGAATACTACTCTAATGTGCTCTTCACGGTGGCCAAAAGCAGAAGTTGAAGCTTTGATTATGCTTAGAACTGATCTTGATTTGAAATATAACGATAATGGGCTGAAAGGGCCCTTGTGGGAGGAAATTTCGTCTGCGATGAAGAAGCTTGGTTATGATAGAAGTGCAAAGAGGTGTAAAGAGAAATGGGAGAATATAAACAAGTATTACAAGAGAGTGAAAGATAGCAACAAGAGGCGGCCTCAGGATTCGAAAACTTGTCCTTACTTCAACATGCTTGAGTCAATCTATGCAAAGAAGTCTAAAACCGAACACACTTTGGAAAATTCGAGTTACAATATGCAGCCTGAACGCATTTTATTTGAAATGACGGGCAAACAACAACATCAGCCTCCTCCACCGCTGCCATCACAGCAACAACATCAGTCAGAGACAGAAGACGGTGAGAATGAAAATCAAAATCAAGAAGACAATGCCGAGGATGAAGAGGACGATGACAATGGAGATGGTTATCAAATTGTTGCTAATGTTCCCTTTTCTTTATCAACTATGGGGTAAGATGATGAGAAGCAGACATTTACATAAGATCAAATATAGTTACTTCAACCCCCCTTGGCAATATACTAGAGGAGAGGAGAAGCGAGTCAGACTCCGTTCTTTAGCATGTTTGGTAAGGTGGATTACACAAGTTGGACAATGTTATAAAGAGAACAAACGAAGCTAAAATCCTATTCGTTGCACTGTCCAATTTCGATTCTGCATACCAAACATGTGCTATATATACCATACATGAGTGCATATAATGGAGCAGTGTCTTTCTAGAGTAAATTTAGTCATTTGTTTTTTGAGAAAATAGTGACAGAGATTAGTGTTTGGTCTTATGATGTAACATAGTACCCTTTCTTCCCATTTATACTGCACAATACAGTGATACACACACTCTGCACAAGTTAAGTAGTTTGGTTGTTGAGTTTGCTTGTCTTAAATAAAGACCAGTCATTTATAAGAACAATTATATTCCAATAAATGATGTGATGGCTGATTTAATGCCATGTGACCAGAGGATTTGAGCGAATCTCTCTCTTTTGCCTTCATGTACTGTACTGGTGATGAATAGCATTTCTTTCGTGTATAAATAATTTAGATTTTTCTAAGAGAAACGATTATTGAACAGGCTATACTCACATGTATATATGGGAAATCTCGAAATTCACAATTCCATCACATTACTTACAATTAAATTTAAGCTAATAGCCTGATAGAATTTGACTGGGTAGAAGCACCATCAGGGATCATCTCCAAACAAAGAAATGAAAAGAAGTTTGTATTGCTAATCCATTCTACTGGGTAAAATTCATTAATCCTACAAGAAATTCTTTATTATATTTTGACAATCAATAATTGTGGAAAACAAAGTTTTGAATAGTGTTTTTTAGGTTGTGTGATGAAGAAGTAGGGAAATTTTTGAGGTTACATACAGAAATATTTTATTGTGTAAATATATGGTTGAAAATGAATACGTGAAAAATAGAGTTTGGAAATAATGGTTGTCAAGGGCAGTCAAGCTATACATTTAGGCTCAAATTCAGATGGAACATGAGTTGACCCATGATTGGAGAGTTTGAAAAATTAAAACAAAAACACTCAATCATATTCTGACACGTTAGTCTGTCTCTTCACTTCTTGTTTTTAAGCATGACTAAGTGGCTTTATTCTGTCAAGGGCTAAGGTTCAGTGGAGTGGTCAGTAGATATTCCTACAGTGACAGGGAATTGACTTCCTTTTTCTCTGTTTGTTAGCTGGGACTAAATATTGTAATGAGGAAAGGATTGGATGAAGGGAAAAGAATCAAATTTCCCCTAAACACACTTCCATTTCAAGGATAAGTTTTTCTAGATTTTTAAATATAATTAATATTGATCATTTGGACGTAATTCAACTCATATTAGTATATGTTCGTTTAATTTAGTTAAAAATCCCAATTTAGAGTTGAATCAATCAAAATGGTGATTTTGGTACATAGTTTGGATGAAAGGATGGAATAGCATAATTATCGAGAAGTTCGAGGACTTGATTCGAAGGATTGGAAGTTCAATTAGTACTACCATTAGTTTTGGGGACCAAATTTAATGCTTGGAAAGTTTGTGAACCAAAACTGATGAAAGTGGAATCTCGGGGACCAACTAAACACTCTTGAAACTTGAATGACCAAAGTGGAAGATGTCAAAAGTTTATGGATAGATAGAGAGCTATGAATTTCTCGAACAAACTGTACTCCTCCGTATATGTTAGAACGATTTTGACATGATCAAAGTTGGAGGACCAAATTGGTCATGTGAAAAAGTTGAAGGACTAAACTAAAGGTGCTTGAAATTTTGAGGCTTCTACAATTTCTTGATGCCTAGTTGCCATCCTTGATTCCAACAAATAACTTTTTTATTTTTAGAAAAAAAAAAAATTGGGTAAACAATTCGTTTTAGTTTCAAATTGTTTTTAACTAGTGAAACCTCAATCGAACAATTTACAAATAGTTCGATTCGATTTTGTAATGGTTGAAACCTAAATCACATGAATCAAAAACCAAAGATTTCAAAATTGCGGTTTTGATTCAATTTAGTGGTTGGCCTTTTTTTGCTTCAACCCCGATTGACATATGGTTGAGAATAAAATAAGATAACAATGATGAATCCATGATCTTAGTTCCCGTTTGGTACTCATTAAATTATATTCATTTTTCTCTATTTTATTTTCAACTACACAATCTTTCATAAAATTATACTACTTATAAATCGAAAATTTTTATTTCTTTTTCAACCACTCATTTTTCAAAAAATCACTATTCTGTCATTTTTCATTTCCAAAAAATGGGTCCAAACGGGAGCTTAGTACTTGATTGGATTTTACTAAAATTTTCATATGCGTTTAAATCACATAGTTTAGTTGTTAATGAGGAAAAGCAAATTCAAAATATCGATTTTCATTATGTGTTTTTTATTGAAGTTAATTTTCATAAAGTATAATTTTATATTTTCTGACATGGATATTTGCTGGCTTTTGGAGGCATGACTTTCGGGGCGAGGAAATATATAAAGATCTTGTCTGGGTCAATATCAGGTAATTATACATTGGGCAATAGAGAATCACAGGCGAAAAATGAGAGAAATGCGTGGAAAAGAGAGAGAAAATTATTAGGGTTTCAACATTTTCATAAGGAAAAAAATGAATTCTTAACGTAAGATCTTCATATTTTTTCAATTTTTCCTTCAAAGTTGGAGGTGTCATCTAAATTCTTCTTGTATTTTTTTTTTCTCGCTTAATATTTAAATAAATGATTAGTTAGGACGAATGATTGTAACCTAATTTGAACCTTAAATTTTAATTATCATATTTTGATCCTAAATTAATATTTGTGTATTATTTTTATTTTTTTTCTTTACGACTTTGAAGTACTTGATCATTAATTCAATGAATTGTGAACAATGACAAGTCGAGAAATAAGTTATTTATTTGAACCACATAGTAAAATTAAAATTTTCGATAGCATGTAGAGATACAAGTATACTACTTTTTTTGCGGGTTTTAATTGAATTATTTGGTAGTTGAATGCTTTTAATTAAGGCTTATTTCGATTAACAAAGTCACGATAATCGAAAAAGTTAAGAATTACTAATCTTTCTTAGAAATCGAATGTATTTTTTATACATACCCGGGAAAGGCAATAAAAAAGAATGAATATGAATTTTTTTTCCCTTTCTTTTTCTTTTATCACTTAGGGGTCATGTGAGAGGAAAGTGTCATTCACGATTTTCAAAAAGAGAGTTTATTTAATTGAATGCGATTGATTTGAGCTTTGAACTCGAAATAGTTAAATCAATTATTTAGAAGAATTCGACTGAACATACAAAATTGATTGTCATTGGACTTCGATAATTGAGATTAAGGGAATAACTATAGTAAAACTCGTGAATCTTAACACCTTTTAAACATCAATTGAAATCCTAAATTATTGCTTGTGCACTTTTCACTTATTATTGTAGACTTATCATATTGATAATTGTAATTAAATTCACTTTTAATCATTTTTACCCAAATAAGAAATTAGATATAGTTAAACCAATAGTTAAATAAATATTCCTTATGAGAACAAAAATTCGAACTCTTTACATCCACTTACTACATATTTAGCTAACATTGTACGCTCATGATTACATCACAATAAGAACCCAAACTACGATTTACAAAAGACGGGCAAAGATTCTTCTCCATTTCTCTCACCTTAAGGCCTTTCTCTTCATGAAAACACACCTCGGAATATAAGTGGTTCACTAACTCAATTCACTTGTATAGGCAAAAAAGCTTCTCCATTTTCTCAGTTTTATTTAAACCCCACATAAAACTTTCATTAATTAAAAGTGGGGAGGGTTCCTCCTACACTTAGATTTGACAAGTGTTTTTGACAAATAATTGTGACCTTTAGATTAAGCAAATCCAACGATCAACATGTATTTCACTAGGATCATGGGAGAGTTAGTTATAACCATTTGAGATTCATGGGATACTAACCGTTGGATTTGCTTTATCTAAAAGTCACGATTATTTGTTAAAAATACTTGTCAAATACATGTGGAGGAGGAACGCTTCCCATTAAAAGTAACCCCATCATCTATGAAAACCCTAAAATTATAAATGAAATATATGTTGGAATTATAATTAAACGAATTCGAGACCAAAGCACTAAGTCAAAGCCATAGTTATTATATCTAACCCGTGTGTCATTGGCTGGATATGTGGGTCAGTGCTTAAAAAATATTTAAAAGTTTTCTTGAGCTATAAGATGTTTCTTTGAGACAAAATTAAGGTTTTAAGTTATTTATTATTATTATTATTATTATTATTATTATTATTATTATTATTATTATTATTATTATTATTATTATTACTATTATTATTATATTTTTTAATTAAGATCTTATAAACTCATTTATTAGTGATGATGATTACATTTTGTTTTTATAATTTTGTACACCGTATTAAAAAAAAATTTAGATTATTCTCTAATCTATGTGCAAAACATGGTTATCGGCCAAAAACTTATGTGTATTAAAGATTTTCTCTACACACAATATGTCTATGCAATAATTATTTGGTATTACAAAAATAGTTAATGCTGGACTATTATTATTTTTTTATTTTTATAAAAAAAACAGTGAATGAATGATGAATTAGATATAACTTATTAAACAAAAATGACTGCTAAAGGATTTCTGGTTCTAGTGGTGAGGCAACCTTCTCGTTACCTGAAGTTCCATGTCAAATTCCTCGAACGCTGCAATTTGAGCCCCGTTTGGCTCATACTAAATCTCATCAAATTAAATTAAAATTTTCTCTTTCTTATTTTTCAACCGCACAGTCTTCAATAAAATAATATTACACGTAAATCGAAAACTTTTCATTCTTTTACAATCATTCATTTTCAAAAAAATAACATTCCCCCATTATAATCAAAATTAATGGAGGCCAAGCAGGGCTCAAAGTAAACATTTTGAAACTAGGTCAAAATTGGTCAATTGGACCGATGGATTTACCAAAAGGGAAAAAAACATACTTATCATACTTTCCAAATACACTTTCAAATTTAACAAACTACATGAAATCTTTCAAAAATGATGTTGTCTCGAATTTTGTGACCTATGATAAAAAATTGTGACATATTTAATCAAACAGATCACGATCATAATAGACACGATTTACGGTCACGATCATATACTAATTACAAAAGTACACATGATTACAGTCACATACCACACAATATAGATGTCGCAAATTTTTATCCAGTCACGAATCACAAAATCAATTTATCACAAATTATTTATTAGTTACATATCATAATTAACTATTCACATTCACTCTTCATCTTATCCCACCCTATCTTCATTTTACCCCACCCCATCCCTTCACTG